TTTCTTTTCGAATGTACCGAAACTTTTTGAAGTTATTGTACGTACGATTTGCTATTTCTTTCATGGAAATTCTAGCAATTTTCTAAAAAAGAAAAAAGGAAAAAAGAACATTGCACGTAGCAAAGATAAAGACCCTAATATCTTAATTTTTTAAATTTTATTTCTTACTTTCGTTAATAATCATGGTTGCAATTATCAATGTAAAATGTCCGAAACGAGATAGAATTGATTGCAAGGAATACTTTAGGCACCGCAATATATCCAACTATTTATTGCACTCATAGAAAAAGGTTGTACTTTTTAAAACCTAAGGTTTACCTAACAGATGGTGCTAATAATATATATTTATTTAAAAAACAGAAAAAGGAACCAAAAAACATAGGAGAAAAACGAAGATAAAAGAAAGATTGGGTGGCTAGCTTTTATAAGCTAACGTAAATCTATCACGTCAAGACTGATTCGACTGCATGACGTGACAACCGTCATTCAGGAACTGAAATTTCGATACAAGGTGACGACAAAGTACGATCCCTTATGGTCCAGGAGGGATCGAAGGGCGAATAGGGAAGCTGGAGGAGGGAAAACATCAGGGCGGAGCCTGAACCACAGGGAGGAGGAATAAAACGCGCAAGCTCGATACACGCCTCTCTCTTTCTCTCTCTTTTCTCCCGCTTCACTCCACCGAAGCCAACCACCCCATCCGGTTTTCCTCTTTTCACCTTTATATAGATTTTTTACCTAGTCGACCCTTCTTTTCGCTCGGCGAGGCTTGCGCAAACTTGCCCATGCGGGCTTTCCATCTCTCTTTCTCGCGCGAGTCGCACTCTGTCGCGCTTTTTCCCTATCGTTCGGCTATACTGTACGACACTGTACTCAATTATTTATAGGCCAGTCAATTTTCAAAAATTGTGAGAACGATCAAGGTTACGAATCGATTCGGATTGCACGTTCGATGAAAGATATAAAACGCGACTATCGTCACAGTCGTGGTCAACGCCAGTGACATCTTACGGAAGTCACCATCTCGTATTAACTCTTGTACGTTCTCATCTTTCGACTTTACTCGATTCGATTAACCTTTTGTGCTAGTAAATGGTTTACGGACCATAACGAGTGACCAAACCGTATACAATAATTCGTCTTCTTTTTGAATTCATCAATATATCACTGAATAGAAATTACTAAGAATAAATTTATTATTTGTTTTGCCTGGGTTATATTTCAATATAACCTTAAAACTGAGAAAATATTGCAATTTTAGGCCAAATATTCTCGACGTGCGTGGCACGTCATTCCAGCGCAAGAGGTTAAGATGTTGCCTTTGCATTTTTGTTATGTTTGGATAATTTCGACCGTCTATTCGTCGTATCTTGTCACTATCGAGTAGTCTGTGCTCACTTACCTTGTAAACAGGACGATAACATGGCGTCATTGAGGATCACTGACCGTTGAATCGATGGTTACTGATCTCCGATAATCCACATCGTGGTGCACACTCAAACAGCGCTCGTGTCTTCTTTTGGTTCGTTCCGTCGAAACAATAACAAACAACGAGAACAAACGGGAACAAACGGGAACAAACAACGTGAAACGCGATTTTCACGTAAAAAATCTCGCGAAAATTATTGAACGTACAGCGCATTGCATCACGCGGTGGCCATCTTTATTACTGGCCTTTTTGCGCGGGATATATCGATCGTTGCAATATATCGAAATTACTGTATCGAATCAGTTGGTTATCGTTTTGATCGTTCATCGTTCACCAGGGGAGAGAATTGTTCTTTGATAATTAATCACGGCGATTAGGCTGCAAGGAGATATAATTATGGGTAAGATCTTGTTACATTTTGTAAAACAGAGAGATTAAGAGTATTTACGTTGCTTTAAAGGGAAATACGTTCGGAAATTCTAGTGATCAATTAAGAAACTGACGAAGTGTTACTGATTATTAGCACCAGTACTGCCAACATATAACGCACTTCGAACATTCAACATAAGCGTGAAGACACAAAGTAGGTAATATTTTATCAAAAGAATTTTAAAACATCAAATTCTTCTAGTTTGTACCAAATGAAAGTAAATTTATGCTAGTATCGATATCAATTATTATACTAAATGAATATTGGCGGTGTAAACATGCACGGATTTGATGCAAGTACGGGATAAACGAGCATTTGTTTGATATATGTTATTCCATTAGATATACAAATGTAACTTGTTTAACTACTTCATTTGTTGAACGATGTTTAAGTAGTTTAAGCAGTTTAAGCATAATTTGTTACATTGGATTTAAAGAAGGATTGACTTAACTATGGATATTGACTCTGGGTATTAAATTATTTTACTATTGAAATTTTCCATGATGCTTTCACGTATTATAAATAACAAATACCTTAATTCTGACCTTTATTTAGAGATATTTGTAGAATTGTGTATCAAATACTGTCATTTAGTAAATACTCAGGTACGCAAGACTAATAACAGAATACATTCATTAGCACTGGTCACTGACCTTCTGTAATTGGCGAGAGAGGAACTAAGAAGGATGTTAACGGACAATTGCGGTTGAACAGACATTTAAAGGTTTTTCCAAAGGGAGATATTTTTGGACTGTCAACCGACTGTCAATCCTTCACAATGTCGTGCTGAGTAGCACAATAAGACACGAACAAAAGGTCTACGTGATAAGGGGATAGTACGTCTACGGTGCAAGTAAAAAACGACTGATCACTTTTACGTGATCACAGATGATACTTGCTACTATTTGTCCTCAAATATTTTATTACGTTATTTGTTAAAATAATTTTGACGATTTCTTTTCAATCGTCACTACTTATTTAGTAAAATGCAACAAATATTTATTTCTTTATTGTAATCCAAAAGTAATATCTAGAAAGAAAGTTTCTTTTCCTCTTCTTTGTAACAAATCAAGCGCTCTAAAGTATTAATATTTTATACTGTTTTTGTTACGTGGTAACTTCGTAATTCAATGGGTTATCAACGAAATTATTACGCTGTACGTTATAAATTGTAAAGTTACTTGTATATAAATATGCATGGTATGTGCATCAAGACGTGTGATGCTCGTGCAACTCGTTGCACTAGAGTTCACTATCTCTCACTCAATTTGAACCTCATCCGCCGTAAGCGGATCGACCAGGCTGGCCTTTTAACGTCGGATAGTCTCGCCTCTCTTGGCTCTAGAGCATAGACGCCTATAACAAACATTATCCGCCATAATGCCCCCGTGTAAACATACCTACCAACGTGCATCGTCCTTCTCTCATCTCCTCTCCTTGTTCCATCTTTTTTAGACACATCGTGTCTCCCTCTGTCCGTGGATAAAAACTTGGAAGTTTATTTAGCCGTTTAGCGTCTAGTGGGAAGTTAAGTTTTTCGGATAAGCCGCCTTTTTAGCATGGACCCTGTTTCCCTTCGTTTCCTTCCGGTTTAGCACGCGCCGTTTATTTGATGTTGATTTCACTGTCGTACCTATTTCTCTCGTTTCTCTCGTTTTTTCATTTTACACGATTCATTGCTTTGATCATTTACTTCACGTGATAATAAAATACAAGCAATTAGAAATTTCTCAAATCTTCCTGTTAATTATATTGGTACTTTCTGTCACCAATATTCTTGGAATATTTAAAATAAATGTAGAGACTTCATTTAACAAGGTATTTTATTAAATTCACACTTATACGATAATGCCACGGTAAGACTCAAACCGTTAAGGACACGTATGTACAAGGTGTTTTGTAACTTGTGGGACCCACTTCGGGAGCTGATTGTATCCCTAAAAATAATGAAAAAATGTCATATAAATATATGTCCTATCGGTAAATATCGACTTGTCACTACAATTACCAGATGTGATTAGTATCACATTTCAACAAATATAAGGGTTGATGGGGTATGGTAGGTGGAGATTTCCCAAGAAACAGGAAATAATGTAGACTGTTTTGCATACGAGAAATCAAGGTTGATAAGTGGGTTACGTTTGGGTTAGAAACTGAGATTGGTTACTCGGTATTTCGCAAGTTTACTGTGTTCCTTTGGAAAAGGGCCTCTACAAGAAACCATTCATACAAGTGTCCCCACTCTTTACCAGGTCCGCTCTGAAATCCCCACCCCCGTTTCTAGAAAGGGACCGAGGTAGGACCGAAACTATTTAGTGTTGCCACGAGGGTTGCTGGCAGTTTAGTCAGACCTTTCTGCTTACCTAGAAATGCTAGTACTTCTAGTATTTTTTTTTTTTTAGTTGTTTCTAGTAGTTTTGAGTATAGTTTAACAACGTGGTAACGAAAACTGTGTTAGATGAGTTCAGTTTATTGTATAGGCAGTGTAAATAATTTACAATTAATTTAATTAGTGATGTGCAAAGTGATAACTCAAAACTGTGACATGGATGAATGAATGTCCAACTGCAACCAACCTTCGATAAGTAACTAGTTATACTCTAATAAAAAGATCCGAGATATACTATCCTGATACTTTTATTTTTGTATTAAGAAAAAAGGATGAATTTTTGAACAAAGGATGAGTTTTCAACTGAGGATGAGGATTAGTGTTGAAAAAACAAATTTCGTAACAAGTTGTTTCCCTTCGCATTTGCGACGGAAAGTTTCAGTGTAGTGTTTTTCCGAAAATGCCAATTTTCTTATTCTAACGGAGCACGTTAACGAAAAGTGTTACCATCGGTATCTCACATTCATGCCTGAAAAATCAGAAGGGAAAAAGCATTGTATTACAGCGGAAAATTACTCGAGATATTTATTTTAGGGGGACAGAGGAAGCGTGATTAAAGTGACAGCATATGTAATTTCTCACAGAAATTTTTTACATCTTTGCACACTTTTAGAGATTTAAATGAAATCGCTTTTACAATACGTTTCGTTGTATTGCAAATTTTTCCCTATTTTTCTTTTTCTTTTTTTGCACTTCGACGTCTCTTATAGAAATGTTACGTTTAAGTATGACGATGTTGTCGTTGCAGGTGGAGTACGAAGGTTACGACTGCGGAAGAAACGGCATTGTGTCGGTGCCAGAAGAACCGACGAAGAAAGTGTTGGAGACTACGAAATCATCCTCCCAGTTGAACCAGAACAGTCATCGGGAGGAGACCAGCTGGTGGGTGGCGGAGGAGGGTGGGCATCAAGATATAAGGGAGCGTGACAAGGGTGTAGCGGTGGCGGGTGAGCTGGCTTGCCTCGCGGGTTACATGGCAGGGTACTTGAAGGCGGCGGGCGCTACTTGCGCTCCGACTGGAACTCCTCAGTACCATGCCCATGGTCACCCAGCGATGGGGGTCGGCACTCATCCGCACCCGCATTCACATCCGCACCCAGGAGCTCCTCACCCAGGATTACATTCGCCTTTCACTCTTACGACGCATGGTCATCCACATCCACATCCGTTGGAGCATGGGCTGGCCGCTTTTCCTCAAGGTAAGTCGTTTTCTCTCTTTTATCGTTGATTATCGATGGTTTACCACTGTTATATGAAATTTATTATTTTCCCTATATTCAACTTATGCAAACACATTTTTCATTTATTTAGTTTTTTTTGTTATTAAAAAATTTTTTTGTCCATAATACTCATTCGCATTTAAATCGCCATTCTTGTTATCTTTTTCTCCATCGAGCACGCGAATCGCGCGATTATTTGAATGGTTACGACTGATAATGAAAATAAGGGGTATTGACGTTTTCGAGCAGGTGAAAGTGTTTAGACAGAATCGTGAGGTGGCGTTAGTTGTTCGCTAGAGAACTTCCTTCTATCCTACCTTCTTTTTCAAAGATCACGTCGTAATTGTTTTGAGTTTTGTTTTGGAGAACGAAGTATATATTGCTAACATTTTGATTGTTATCTCTTACATCGTAGAAAAGTACGAAACGAAGAAGCTTTTCTCTTTCCTTATTGTTCGAAAATTTTCAGTTTCTTCCAAGTTCCGAATATAAATTTTAGAATTACTTTACCATCGTAATGTTCTTTTTTTTTTTTTTTTAGAAGACTTAAAAAGAGCATTCGTTCGATTGCGGACAAAGGATTGATACGATTAAATAGGTATTCGATGGAGGATTTGGTAGCTGAAAACATTTTGTATCGTTTACCCGGAGTTTTACTCTCCCGATCTCATTGTTCGATGGATGATACACGGTTCCTGTTTCGTGAATCATGCGGTCTGTTATCTCCTAGTAAAAGTATTTGGCGCGCCATACTAGCCGTTATTGATTGTCATGCAAATCGATGCATCGACTGAAGCCATATGAAGTCAAAGTAAACTCAGGGCTTCTTAACTATAGTCAACCGTGTATCATTCTGTGACAGGCGCTCGAATGCATTTCTTCCCTTTAAGACGTCGAAAATTCCGCGTATATTTATTACACCCTTTTTTAGTCAAGTAAGTTCTTCGTGAATTATCCAAACTCACGTTTGGTCGAATACAATAGAAATGATAAAAAATGGTCGAGAAAATCACTTTTGGTCTCTCGATTTAGTATCAAACGATAGTTTATGATGAGACATCAGTCACAAAAAATTTTCAAGTTACATTGACAATTAATTTTTGACATGAAAGGAGTCAAAGCAGCCCATTGGTCAGTTAATTTAAGAAATTATTCTTAAAAGCTTGGATTTCATAATCGCAAAATTCATAATCGCAATCTAATATTTGTATTGATACCATATCGAATGGAATATTTTAAATACAATTTCACATTCGTCATTAATAATCAAAATCTCTAAGAATAATTTTTTAAATTATTTGACCAACGAAAACTACATACTAAGTTTAGATATGAATAAAATATTTGAGAAATGATTATATAAATAACATCATTCTACTTGACTCGACATTTAATCTCTCAAGTAAGTTCTAGTTCTATTATGCAAATTTCATCCTGTGCTAGGATTATTTATTATCATTTCATTTCAATGAGTCGAGATAAAGTTACTTTTTCCAAGTTATTTTTCAAATAAAGATAATAAATTATATCTCGTTACTTCGAACTGTCTTTTATTTTTATCTTAAATGAAATTTGCTCAATTTTGTTACGTACTGGAACATTAATAACGTATCTCTGATCCCTCATATTTCAGAAATTAATTATCAGCCAAACTTTAGAATTTGTCCTGACTGATGTCTCATCATCACGAGCTATGCCAAAAATATGCAAAATTCAATTTCAAACTCGAGGGACCAAAAAACTTGCTCTCTATGTTTCAATCTCTTCGGATGAAAGTGATTCGTGCTAATTTCCGTTTGCATCGGAGCGAAACTCTCGAAAGCGGAGCACGGGGCTCGATCACAGCCATGATCGGGCATTCTTCCTTCTTCGTTCTTCCGCGCTTGCACGCGTGTTGCACGCGCATCGAAGAATACGCGAGTCGAGTTTGGCGTACTTCTCTCTTTGCGTCTCCGTCTTTTTCACGGTGGTTTGAAAGAGGTACGGAGTTGCGAAAGGGAACGAGAAAGAGAGTGCGGGAGATGTAGAGAGAGACAGAGAGAAAGAGAGAGAGAGAGAGATTCGAGTCGCGGCAAGAGGGTAGGAGGAAGGGGCTGGAATGCCCCAGCGAAGAAGAGTAGAGAGAACCATGAGAGTAAGCCGCTTATCAGGGTGGCAGCAGGCAGTATAGGTCCAACCAACGCAGATAGGTGGGTTTCCATGGAAACACGGATCTGTCCGTTAGGTCTCTACGTACCCGCGTCCAGCCGCCTATCCGTTGTAGGCGTATCCGCTACACGAAAAGCCGTGGAACGAGAGAGGAACGAACCCGGAGTGTCCCTCTGTCTATATACGTACGCGTTCGTGCGAAAGAGGCAATCGAAAGAGTCCAGGATAGAAACAAGGCTCGCGGCTGCGAGAAACGAACGAATCGGTAACCCCGCGCCAAAAAACAGACACACTTAGTTTTTATTGTTTGTTAATAAATGTTGGAGAAAGGTGGGTAGTAACATGGCCCTCTTGGATTTCTTCCCAAAATATAATCTGTACTCTAAATTTTAATAAGATCACACACGTCAAGAGATAGAAATAGAAAAGAATGATTTAGCTGAATTTATCGCGTAACGAATCAAACCCCGCGCCAAAAAACAGACACTCAGTTTTTATCGTTTGTTAATAAATGTTGGAGAAAGTGGGTAGTAACATGACCCTCTTGGGTTTCTTCCCAAAATATAATCTGTACTCTAAATTTTAATAAGATCACACGTGTCAAGAGATAGAAATAGAAAAGAATGATTTAGCTGAATTTAACGAATCAAACTAACAACGATGAAAAGTTGTTGGTACTTCAAACTGTTATAACCTCGTAAAAAAAATATTATTTTATGTTTTAGAGCATACTTTCTACTTTGGTTTGGCTAATGCTTTGGTACTCTCTCTACTTTGACGGCTCTGAATTTTTTTCACGACTAAATTCACCATGGTCTCGAAGTTTACAACGATCCCTTGAAATTTGCTGTATGCCTTTTTTTTTTATCGAACTTTGAAGATTAGGATTAAACAGTGAAATGTTAGGATTTCTTTAAATTTTTGTCATTTAACTCCAACATTGAAACTTCAACAAAGCAGTCACGATGGATCTGTGCATGGAAAACATTTTTTATTGCGTTCAGAGACGCTTGAATTTTGACAAACTTTGAAACTACCTTTCTCTGTCTGTACGACACCATTTGCTTCAAAAATTATTTTTATCATAAACGTGAAAAAGGGCGAAATTACCAGGAGAGGGCCATAATACCACCCTCTTCTTTACAATCGCGTTCGTCGAATTCATCGCTTTGCGTGTGTCTGACTTTCGACTAAATTCCATCAATCACGCCATCAAATATTTCCCAAAAATTTCACGGACCGTCTGCAAACGTAAATCAGCGGTCTCTGCCTCTCTGCCAGCCTTCGAGTTCTTTTCATTCGCCGAATGCATAATGTACGGGCTGTTGGCGCGCGTTCTTTCCACGAGAAATGAAAAATTAAAATGGAAATGAATTTTTGGTCGTCGGCAGCCTTGAGCTACGCGAACTAGCGCCAGTAAATCTGGACAAAATGTTAAGGTTAAACGTGACGCGGTGGTCACGCCGTGAAACGCGAGATGTATTCGTCGCGTGCGCGCAAAGAGATAGCCCGTGTCCGCGTTTTGTGTTTCGTGCGCGCCCGCTCGAAGAATGTACGACAGTATTTATTTTATTATGCAATCAGTCTTGGGGTCAGGGCGGGACGAATAGAAAAGCAGTAGCTCCCGGCGGAATGAAGGGTGCCAAAAAGGGAGGGGTATCGAAAACGTTGTCGTTAACGCGCCGAGGTTTTCTCCCGCCGATGTTCAGGGACGCTGCAGGAGCCCACCGGGTACGTGGGAATCGCGTCACATGCCTCTCCCTTTTCTCATTCGACGACTACTATTTGTTGTCGCAGAGAAATTGCCCGTCCACTTAACTTCCTCCGCCTTTCGGTGGAATCGGCACGCATAAACAGACATCCTCTGATTTTTATTCCATATCGAGATACGATCGAACGGACACCAGGAGGCAAAGCATACCATCGGTAAAGTGGTTTAAGATGGATAAGAAGCACACTGTCTCGATACCTTAGAATCAATCTAGTTTTACTTTGTTTTATTTTGTTGCATGAAAAAAAAGGCAAGAATGCGCTTCTGTCCTCTAGGATTAGGAAAGCGAAGAGTTTCCAGAAAGAAGTTAGCTTCAATTTAGAGTTAACTACTAAATTTGGAACAGCACCTTTTAGTTTATGTTGCTTCTTCGTTGGTTTACTAAAACTGCAAATTAATTAATCTCATCGCCTTTAAAAATTGATAGGAGGATAATGGTTGATGCTGTCTATTCGATACCAGAAAACGAGAGTTGAAAAGAGTACCGTCGTTAGACTCGTCGGTCGAATTAGTTTTAAGAAATTGACGGGAGGGTAATAGTGTAATCTTTCGTTTGGAAGAGACTGCTGCCAGTTCGATAGAATTTCAATCACTCAATTAGGCGTCAGGTTAAGGGTGGCACGTGGCGGGAGCACGTGCACCTATCGTTACGAAGTGGCCACAAAATATCGAGCTAAACAAGCACGCGCGGAAAGCATCGGAGAGGAACCTTCCATCGAGTACAAACGACTCGCGTCGTTTGACGCGTGTCACGGGTAAATTGAGTAGGCGGACGGTGTCGTCCTCGACAGAGGGATCTAAATACGGATCCAGGCCCTAATTGCAGGATAAACACTCGAGTTTGAGTGAAATATCACGTACAACTAGATAGATAGATATCGATACTTCGCCCTCTACTCTGGCCTCTGCGGTCGACTCAATTTTTCCAGAGCCTGTAACGAGCGCAAACGAACGTTCTCGAGTCATTGCAGAGTTCGGAATTCTAATTTTTCGGAACTCTCAATTCTGGCTGTTTTCGTTTTCGTATGGTTCTCGACTCGGTAGGTAGGTTGCACTGACAATAAGCAGATAGAACAACAGAAGAGGAAGCGAATGAGAGACGGCATCGGCTGGAAGACGGTAACACGAAGCTTATCCGATTATTCGCTTGTCCCGGATGTGTGTTGGTATTTCGTTACTTACTTATACTCCTCTCTGCTAGATTACCAGGTAACAGCGACTAGGCCCGAAGGCCACACGCGTTTCCTCGCGTTCGCTCCATCGAAAGTTTGTGTGGTCTTCCCGAGTCCAGATGGCCTGGTTCTCGATGACTTCCTCTTCTTTCTTTTCCGGTCTCTGAACGTTCTTCGCGGTTTCTCTATTAATATTATTGGATACACTTGTGTACGGTCACCCATATTTGAAAAATGAAAAATACAAACCTGTCTCGATACCTCGCGAAACGACGAAAGTCGCCGACATCGGGCCTAAACCGGCTCCTCCCCCCCTTCTCTCCTCCGACGCGGTTATCTGCTTTACGCAGCGATTTCACGGAGGTCATACTGTAAATGCAAAGTCGGCCAAATGTTTTCGTAACTGATGGCCTTTTAGAATTCCGTCTCTCATCGGCAGTGGCACGTGCTATCATCCCACGGTCCCCTGAATAATCCATCGTCGCCCCCTCCCGCGCCCCCCACGCCCACGTTCTCCATCGTCTAGCGTCCTGTTCGCATTTTAGCTTTTAATTAATTTTCGATTCCCTTCTCGGCCGTATTCGCGCTTCCTTCGATACTCGGTCGGTCCCTCTCTCTCTCTCTCTCTCTCTTTCTTTTTGTTTGTCGTTCGTCGACTTGGAATATTCGCAGCCGTCGCATCTTGTATTCTATGAATAACGAAGCAATCTCTTGGCTCGTGGGACGCACGTTCGCGCGGCCAGCGACTCGGTCAGCTTCTTCGATTCTCTTCCGGTTTCTCGATGCTCGCGCGAAACGCGTAATTTACGACTCAATCTCTCCTCTCTCTCTCTCTCTCTCTCTCTCTCTCTCGCAATCTTAACCGCTTCTGATGAATGGGCAGACTCGCGGTACCCATTCAGTTCATCGAATAATTACGAGTAGATCCTATCGTTCGATTCCCGGTATCGAACGATGTAATTGATATTAATTCGCGTTTCCTTTTCCTCGTTAATCCGCGTTCGACGAGCACGCAGAAGTGGAAGCGTTGTTCTCGTCTTATCTCGGTTATTTATTTATCCAATCACGCGGCACACATTACGCGCATTACGCGATTCAGCGACAAACACCCGGGGGAAAATTCTACACGCCAAGGTTTAATAGCGCCGCGTTCCCCTAGACGCGCCATATTTCATCGCGGGCGGTAGTTTTAGATGGTATCGCGGACAAACGCGCGCCGGTCGTGTAATTCATACGGTCGATTCGCGAGATTGATCTATAGCCGCGCCGTGTCGCGGGAACGGGCAGGATAATTAATTCAATTCTCACGTCCCTTTCGTTACTCTGTGTAATCTCTCATTAGACGGATAGAGACGTTAATTAGTCTCTTTCACGAACTCCATAGGCACAACGATCGCGCAGTTTGTTTCAGCGGCGTGGCTTTGTCGCAGATCGATCGACAAAGGGATTTTTCGTTATCTCGATGACGTTGGCGTGTGTCTCGAAAGTGGGGTGGGGAGCGCGAGGGAAATCACTGTGAAATTTCGTTACCGATCCATTGACTTCCACGTGGATTCCGTTCCACTCGAGGAGCAGACCCGGCGCTCCGAGGGAAGAGAAGAATCCAATAAACAGAAAACGAATTTGCTATTAGGGTCGCGTCTGATCTCGTTGTGGGCCAATGAGCCAAAGCGCAACCCTTATATCAACCCCGGGTTTTCGTCTCTCGCGCTGACGATAATAAATCGAATCATACTTCAGGGCGCAGCGGGTGTTTGCCGTTCGGTTAGGGTCCCGCCTGGCTAGCCGCTTTTCGCCTTGTACGCGTACATACGAGTCTATCATCCCGCGTCTGATCTTCTCCTTCTTCCTCCGTCGGTCGCGAAATCTCGCGCGTTTGCGTGAAAAACGTTTGGTGAAAAGCTTTCGTGACGGCGCAAAGTCAACGGAGTTGGCGGTATGGCGCCACCGATCGATTCTGCTCTCGCGTACAGAATTCAAGCAAACGAAGGGCTTTTCCTCGCGCCCACTCGACGCCGCGTGGAAGCAGGCGGAAGACCATAATCGGAATTCCATTGTCTCGTTGCTGGATAAGGGCCTGGCTTTCACAGGGGCCGATGTATAGCCCGGCAAAGGCCGTCGTTAACGGTAGCTCTAACGCCCACTCGACAATCAAGCATCCTCTCGCCGGATCCTCTCGTTCTCTCCTCTCTTTCCCCAGGAGCCTGCCTCGGTCCCTCCGGGGACCATCCAGCCTCTCCGTTGCTCTCCGATCCGGTGCGTTGCACCGTGCTTGGTCGCGCCACGGCCAACCGAACCGCCAAGATACGGATCATAGATCCAACGATCTCTCGCGGGCGTGTCGTGGCCATTGGTCGCGACGGTAGCCAACCGGTATGGAATTTTACATTGTGCCCGGGCGCAATCTCTCTCGACGATCTACCTGGCTACTACGCTGATAGCCCACTCGACCAGTTCGTTAGCCAACGATCACGCGTGTGCATCATCGTTCGCGTCATCGTCATCGTCCTTTGCTTCGTCGCCGTTGCTGCGTATATCGCTCGAACGAACCAAAGTTCCACGGTCAGCGTGGAGAGATCACGACGACTGTTGCTCCGCTCCGATCTCACGGGCCACTCCTTCTTCTCTCTCAGCGTGCAGTTGCCCATTGCGCTTCTGTTTCCTCGATATTTTATTCGATCCTCTGTCCGTCACAGTTACGTAATTATCGTACCTTTAATCTCGCGTGGCTTCAAAGACTGATTCAAAGAGGAAAGTATACGCGACCCGAACAATGCCTTCCTCACTTGGTTGCTTTCTCTTCCTTGTCGTAAGCCACTCTTTCAGCTTGCTCCCGCCGAGAGCCGTTGCTTTCAACTCTCTTCTCTCTCGCGTGCCAAACCTACGTTTGACAGTCTCTCGCGCTGTTTCATTTCATGCACAGCATATATATATATCCGCGACGTGTCGCGACTTTATGTTGGTCGTTGTTAGAACTCTGTTAGACGGTTGACTTTACAACGATCGTCAGTTTACGAGCAACGCGAGAGCGGATCCTCCGGAGGAGAACGAACCATGGTGTCTACCATTCCTTCCACGACTTTACGATCCAACTTCCAATCGAGAGACACTGAGCGAAGCGCAGTTTCCAGCCTCTTCTTTTTATTGGTCGGAACGTTGTACGTTGGCGTGTTGGATACCATCGTTTTCAGAGGCAGCTGGGAACGAACCGCGACTTTGGTCCTCTGGATGGTCGTGTATTCCGGAGTGTACCCCACCGGCCTCCTCCTCGGCTCCCCATTCCCCGTCCCGTCGTCCTGACTTGTCCCCCCTCCCCTACCCCCCTCGTTCTCCCGTCCTTCCCCCCTCGTCGCCCCTCGTGACCCCCCTCATAAGCGGATTACGTGGGTCCCGGAACGAGCCAAGCGAGGCTCGATGGCACGAGGAAGGCAGAGGAGGGTGAGTCGTAGCGGGGGGGAACTGTTCAAAATTACGCTATCGCGACCTCGCAACGCTTACACCCCTCTGCGCCACCCCCGTTTTCTGTCCTCCGGTTCTGCGGTACTGATGCCTTACCCTTCTCACTGAGGTTGAACAGCCTCGCGACTCGTCCTCGTCCCTCCGAGCTACTCCTTTTCTTTATCATTTTTCCCCGCGAGACGATCGACTTCTCTCGAGGTCGTGTCGAATATATTTGAACATCGCTGCGAGTTATTAACCCCACCCCTCGTTCCCCTCTGTTTCAGGGATGAATCAACGAAAACAACGCCGTGAACGGACCACGTTCACCCGAGCGCAGTTGGACGTGCTCGAAGGACTTTTCACTAAAACGAGATATCCCGATATCTTTATGCGGGAGGAGGTGGCGCTGAAGATCAATCTGCCTGAATCACGAGTACAGGTAAAATAAAACTCGATGAAATTGGTTGTTTTCCTCTTTCGAACGTTCTACGTCACGTTACGAGCGACCGAAATCGATCTCGCGGAGTCAGAAGGAACTCGAATCGTGGTTTATCCATCGACAGAGAAACAAGCGTAGAGTCTCCGCGAGACGATATCAACGATAGTCGAAGGGAACGAGAGAGGAGGCACGAGGGAGTGTTTCGTGCTTCGGCAACCGTGGCTGAGATTTAAGGTATTTACACAACGCGTTGTCGCGCCCTACGTCCCTCCGGTTTCGCCATTGTTCCGGTCGTCGCTGTACATTGATAGATGTGCCGACGAGCTCGTTGACGCTTTTATTGCGGTCCGCGTAACATCTTTATTTCATAGCGGGATGCCTCGAAGTCACGATCGTGACTGGAATATAGAGCTCGCGAGTCCCCCTTTGCCGCGATCGCGATGCTTTTGCGTCCGTCGCCACCGCGAATATTCCCTAGTCGATGGACCGCGAATTTTTGTCAATGCAATTCCACGAAATAATCAATTCTGGATCACTTGAACATTTTATGATAGCGTAAAATAAGAAATGTGAAATTTTACGTGAAATTTTGTCGCTCAACTTTGCTACAGGGATTCGCAGGGTTCGACATTCAATATTCAGAGATCACTCATCTCAAGAAAACAATTCCACAAGGTGAATTTTCGATAACCGCGGGCTTTCCCTGCGTTTTTCGATTTGTGTGAAACTGACGAACGTATCGTACTGTGCAAAATTGTTAAATGATACTTATATCATCGCCATCATTATTAAATTCATCTCACCTAAAAATTAACTCTGCCGAAGTAGATGCAACGAGAACTTTGACGACGGGTAGAAAAAGTGATCTAGCTAGTCCTAAGCAAGATGAAAATTTCATACATCTCCACACGTCTGTTACGCACATTCCATTTATCTATTCTTGTATCTTTCTTGAAGCTTCCCGTAAATGCGTGAAAATCCGCGGTCCGCTAATAAAAGTATCGTCGGACACGCGACAAGCAAATAGCTTGAAGTCGGCGAAGCGATACGTAAAGTAATCTCGATACACGGCGATACGCAGCGGCCGTCATCGCGAGATATAGGACAAAGCAAGGAAATTCCGTCCAGCGGAGTTTCCACGCGAAGTTAAGCCCCCGGTGAATGAAGGCGCAACTGCAAAAGGGTGTAACACACGTGTGCACGATGTACATTGTAGAGGCGTACCCACGTGAACGAATAATATCCAAGAGAGGGGGAGGAAGGGAGAGATGGATAGGGGGGGAGAGAGGTCGAGGGATCTAAAAGTTTCCGTGGGAGAAGAAGAGAGGAGAGATCGAGAGAGAGAGAGAGAGGTGTGTATATAGGTAGAGGAACACAGAGGTACGATGTATGGAATACAACATATAGTTGATTTGTTCCTGGATTATAGCCCTTCGTTCTATCTCGTTCGCGAGTTTCTATACGTTCGTCTCTGCGAGAGAACGACACAGCTGCGCGCGATGTTTGCCACGTTTGAATGCGCCAGGTCGTTCGTCCATCATTTACGATCGAGAAACGCGTCAGAACGTTATTTCCTCGCTCGAAAAAAAGAGACGAGAGACGCCTCGACGCCCCGGCTCTCCGGAGACGGGTAGCATCCAACGGGGATGAACGGGAGAAACGATAAACTTCTATCCGGTCGACAGGTTTGCCTTACAAATTTATACGTATTAAATTCTGCTCGACGTGGAATCGTAAACGGACCAAAAAAAAAAAAGAGCAAAAGATGAAAAACTGAGTACGTCCGGATTTTGAAACGAGTTGTGCATCGAAAATTATCGCGACGCGGCGATATCGTCATCGATGCGTTTCGACGCGGTGATCCTGGCTTTGAACTGCTTCTGGCGACGCGATGTCGTATTAATAGCGCAAATAAGAAAATATATTTGTCATAACGAAACGTCAACGCAGCTGCTGCAACTCGCGCGCCAACGGGGTTGGTTCTCCGCGTTGGATGCTAACCAGATGGTGGTGCAATTTACACCTAGGCCGTCGATACACAGAGCAGAACTGGCTGTGGTTGCCCCCGGAGGGCTTCCGGATGGCACCACGCGGCCTGCTCGGTTGGTTTTTGGGGTAGCTGCTAGCTCCTCCGGTTGTGTGTTGTTCCTAACGGGGGGTGTCGTTGTGCAAACATCGCGCGGTAATGGGCGATTTTCTCTCTCGTTCTTCTTCCCCATCGCCTTCGTATCTCTTCCAACTTCCTCTCGGGGATCATTTTCCCTTACGGTTGACACGCAATATTCACGGTTCACGCTTCTCGGATCTACCGCAACCCCCCTCCTACATTTGCCAAGAACCTCCTATATTTGCGAAACGGAGGATTCGACATGACACATAGAAAACAATCTCTCGTCTATCAACAGCGGCGTCTTCTCGTTCCGTCGAATTTCCGATTCTCTTGCGCCTCGTTAGATTTAACTTTTCAACCCTACCTCCGTCTCTGCCGGCGAGACCGAGCTTCCCTCGTCCTTCCTTCCCTCCGTCCGTCAACTCAACCCAACTAACACGAAATTCATGGCGACTGGAAATCCCGTGTCCGCTTCGCCGAGTCGCGTTCTTTGCAACAACTGTTACAATGCCGCCGATAATAACAACAATGACGGCGGGTCTTGCTTTTAAAGGCACGGGCATAGATTCATAGGATCGCACCCCTGGCCACATTGTGTGCCTGGATTACGGAGGGTGCGTGAGGGGGAGTGAACGGGGGTCTGTGTGCGCGAACTTGCGGCCTATCGGGGGATGCTTTTTGTTCGTGCTCGGGACGGACGGTTGTCTCTAGCCCCCGTGAAGCAAGGACAAGGAAGGAAGGCCCCTCTTTTCCACGAAACTCGCGCAACCATTTTCCCCGACTTGTGCCCGAGTTTGACAGATTTTTCTCTTTGTGGCGTAGCACGTGAAGCTCCGTGACATCTATTTTCCTACAACCTATATCATATATCCTCGATGTTTTCGGTGACAGTAGGATTATGATTGCCAAACTTGCAAGTAACATTCATCGTCAAGTCTCTCGGCAAGCACTGCCTTTTAATTATACGTTCAACCCTGCCACCTTTTTGAAAAAACGCGCGCAATTGTCGTCAAAGCAAATGATCATAATGTTAAATAAAACTAGGTGAGAGTAGGGTTCATTAATGATGAACTATTTCTCTTTTCATTATATCATTATTGTTTATTTGACAGCAAATTAAGTTGACAAACGAGACGAGGCATTTAAAGCATTTTCATATCGTGTGCATGCGTGCGCGTGTTTTTCGCGAATTTTTTTCCATTCTCATGGTTCAACAACGATGAAAGCACAATCGTGGTGTGTACGCACACATATTCCAGAGGGTTTGATTTGCGCATGCGTGCCGATAGACGCCGGCAACGCGAATCCCGAGAGACACACGATTACACGTACACACACGTAAGGCGTGAGCATATACACGTGAAAATTCGAACACGTACGAAAGCGTATGAAAGCCCCCGAACTACTACCCCTCCTCTGGCTCGTTGTTATTGTTGCGATTTAATGAAATGTTACGGCCGTCCGCCCGCGATTACTTTCCCATTGCACCGATTAACTCCCCATTTGTACGGTTCCATCCCTCGTGACGAGATACCTTTTCTTCTCAATGATCCCCCGGGCGATGGTTTCTGCCAAACCTTCGGAGACTTCCCGCGAAAGACTCGAGCACAATTTTGCCTGCATTTGCTCCCGCTACCCTCCTCAAAAGATATTCGTTCGTTCGTCGAAATCTTTTCTCTTTTTCTTTTTTTTTCTAAAGTTAGAATAGAATAGAAATTACAGCGCGTCGACTCAAGACTGTTTGCAATTTTCAACATCCCACGTTTGCAATAATCAATTACACAGTTCCTTTCACTGCAGCATCTTTCTGCGTACCTTTCCAAGTTTGAACTCGATGATATATTTTTGGAAATCCGAATTCTCTCAATCGCTTACATTTTTTTTTTTGTAACTGAATGCATTAATTACCAATGTGTAAACATTACATATACGAATAGATTAATCGCTAACATGTACGTATGCATGCAGTACTTTGGTAGCTAATAAAAATTGCGATTAAATTTTGCTGAAAAAAGTCACGAGTTGAAAGTTACAAGTGGTTTTCAAATTCACAGCAATAGGTAAATGATATTATCCCAGGCTATTTTGTGCAAGGTCGATGTTTTTTGTGCAGGTATGGTTCAAGAATCGTCGAGCTAAATGCCGACAGCAACTGCAACAGCAGCAGCAAACCTCGCCCTCGAAGGGATCACCGCGGTCCACTCAGAGCCAAAATAACGGGAACAATGGCACCAAGATGTCGACGAGTTCGTCGACGGCACCCAGCAGACGCTCGTCGCCTGTCTCGCCACCGCGCGGCAAGGAAGCACCGGGTCCAAACTCGCCTCTGTTGTCCACGAGCTCGACGTACCCGCGTCTCGGCGTGACGCCGACCGGCGGAAGCGGCGCGAACAGCGCCATGACCACTCCGTCGCCGCCGTTAACACCGGGCTCGAGCCAACTGCCACCTTCGTCGTACCCGCCAGCGATGAACCAGATCCATCACGGCGAATACGGCTTCACATGGAGTTCAGCGTCGCCGGGCTCGGTGAACCCGAGCCAATGTTACGCCGGGCAGAGTTACAACGCGTATCAGAACCCGTACACAAGCGGCGACTACTATCAAACCCAGATCTCGCATATGCATCACAGCCCCCAGGGGAACTATCACCATCCGCAGTATCACCACAATATGACGTTAACGTCGTCGATGTCGCACTTGACCAGCCACCATTTGAACCCGACCAGCAGCAACGACATGGCAACGTCGCCGTCGGACACCGACGGTTACATACTGCCTGATCAAAAGTATCAGACGATGGTATAGCGGTCCAGCAGATCGTCCGGGATCTTTCATCGCGGCCAAGATGGCACCGTCGCCGCTGGATCGTTCCCTACGTACAACTGGCGCCTCAATTCTACAACAAACTGTTCCGAAATGAACGGTAACATCGATTCAGACGATAACTGATAGACGCGTGGATAATGATGACGATGACGATGATGACGACGAATAGTTTTTTTTTCTACTTCTTTTTGACTTTTTTTCCCCCTCCTGTTTCTGAAACGTCGGAACGATTGTTCGTTCGCGAGGGACCGCCTCATTTTGCGTGTTTCGTAGGTAGGAATCGTCAACTCGGCGAAATTGCAAAGCTTAGATATAGAACACATCGTAGTTAATAACAATGTATGTTTTGTAATATCGTTGCAGACTTATATCTTCGTAATATTATATATGTATATTTCGAATGTATATTTGGTAACGTCGTTGTAAATTTTTGTTTTTTTTCTTTTTGCGGAAAACTTTAGATTTTAGATCGCGCTTCTCGCGCGATAATAAACAGCATATTTCTTGATTTTTACAGACCTCATTTCTTCGTATTTTCATTTTTTTCCTCTTCGTTGCAATTTTAAAGTGACTCGACACGGATTCATCGAAACAGCTAAATATATAAGTGGTCTGGACTTCAGATAAATCGAAAATTTTGTCTTTGTACGGAATTCGTCGACATCAAATTCAGTATGTCGCGATGAGTACAATCGTAGTGTTAAAATTTCTTGTCAAGATATAAACGTTGTACCCGACTTTTACATTATTTTACTCTTCTCTTTTTTTTTTATATTCTTTCTCAGTACAAAAAGGTCGATAAAGTCTTTCTTTTTGTTTCTTAAAATATTATAATTCTTATTTTATCTTCTGACCGATTCGTATCAGACGTAACACGCAAGAATGGCTTGATCCTTCGAGAAAAAGGGAAGGTATCAGCGATGAAGCACTCTCGCGCCCGTATCGTGATTCTGCATCGCGAAATTGTGGAATTCAGGCTGTTAGAGCCCCGTCGGCATAATCCAGCTCTTAGGTCTTTCAATCGTCGAAGACGAGTATCTCGTCAACGACGAGCGAAACCGGCTTGGTCAGATTTCTTTCCCGTAACCGTAAGGTAACATTTTCCGATTAACATCGACTTTTGATCGATTCAATCGAACAGAATCGTATATCGCTATTCAAATACTGAGAAGAAGTAATTAAGTATTTTATCAACCTGGTCATCAAAACTGTGATACTTCCCTCACATCTAAAGTACACTCTACGATCACGGAGAAAATGAAGCACACCTTCGTCTGAACGAATCGGTTTCGCTTGTTCGTCGACGAGCTGCTGTTTCAAGAGAAAGGATAACGTCACAATATCGCGGAAGACCACCACGAGTGGAACGTCGACATTTTCTCGATCGCCGCGAACGAAGAAAGAACGATACGCGATCGTATATACGTCGACACCACCGACCGTTATCGAAATCAACCATGTTTCAATGATCGGATGCTTTTTGTCGTCGAGTTCAATTAACAATCAACATATTAGGACAAAATCATCACGTCTTACGAATCGATCGTAACGTTGTTGGTTGTTGCACAACGCAACGGATCGATCTTTGCATTTCCCGAAAATGTCTCGAGTATATCATCCAGAAACAAGATTCTCTCTCAGAGGGTGGAGGGGGAGGTGGACCAACTGCAAATAAGAAAACATTGTGTCTCTCGAGCGACAAGGATGTTTCGAGATACAAGTTTTTTCTTATTTACCTCCCCCCTCGATCTTGAATGACTAACGATGATTGAAAAAAACTTGTCTCGTGGCAGCGAAGAAACGTACCGTGAAATGAGACACGCTCAAATTTTGTACGTCACCTTTAGACGCTCGCCGTTATTCGCCTGTCGCTCGCGCGAGTCGCGAAGATCGCAACGTCCCTCGCGATACCGATCTCTGACGAATGACGATCGCGTTCGTTCGTTCTAAACGCGATGAAATTCAGCATCGGAACGAGGTATCGATGATTGATTGATATTGATGATTATTTCGACTACGGTATCACCTGGCATCGTGACCGAGGATTTGATGGAGCGATCGACGCTGTATCAACTGTTTTCTGGAACGCGGCTTCGTATCGCACGTGTATCATGCGTATCCTCCCTCGCTCTATGTACTCGTTTCACGCCAACGAGGCAGACCTCTTGTACAAAAAGAAATATCTAGAAACGACACGAGATCCTCTCTCTCTCTCGCTGTGTCATCGGTCCCGGTCTCGATTTTGCGATCCAGTATGCCAGACAACGCTGTGTTCTCACGGCTGCAACAAGATATGTATATTATCGTGGGTTAGAGAGAACGAACAAAAAA